CTTGGTGAGAAACTACCTTTAGTCAATACTTTAATTTCGTCAATGACTAAATAAAAAGTTTCGTCATACATCATTACTATCAACCTCCTCGAAATAGAATGTTGTCCCATTATTTGGAATTGGACCACGGTATTTCCTTTTTCTAAAGCTTCCAAGAACATAGTCTGAAACTTCAAAATTTTCAACATCGTCAGAGAATATATAATTCCATTCGGCACCGTAGACTTCTTTTGTTTACAGCCAAAAGAATTGCCAGTGTCGTGATCATAATAGTAAATTTCAAGAATTGAATCAGTAGCAACATAATTTCCCTCGACACATATTAGGGAACTTGCTACATAATTTATTTACATCAAGCAAAAATGCGTTAAGTTATTGAGATAGAGAGATACTATAAATGCATACTCATTTGATTTTTTTTTACCTTCAATGACAACTAAATTAATAATTAAGCCAAAAATGATGCTAATAATTAATACGAAGTGAAATTGATGGCTAAAGAATAAAGTATTATGACGAAATTAACTTTGATAGTGTCAAGTGATGTCTCCAAGATTTTGTTTTTTCCTAACAAATTAAAATGTATTTTGGGTTTTTTTGATGTCTTAAATTTATTATTAAGGATCGGTTTGCCAATGTGTCTATTTATAAAAATCTGTCTTATTGTTTCATTTATTATTAACTACAACAATATTACGTTCATATTTCATCTACAGTCCACTCTCTATAACGGACTGAGAAGAGAATTTGGACCCATTTATATCCCATATATAAACTATTACGGTCTATAACGGATTCTCTTTATAACGAACATTTTTTCCTAAACCAAATGGTCCGTTATAGATAGAATTTCATAGCTTCATTATTTCTCGTGAAATTCAAATTATGTATGTATTTACAATAATAGCAGCCGAGTGTCATTTTAATCAATATGTAAAATTTTGATGGTTATTATTATTGATTTTTATTTTTATTTGTGCGATTCAAAAGCGAAAAATTTTTTCTCAAACAATGTATATATATATATAAATAAAAATAAATAGCTGAAAGAAAGTGGCTTTTACGATCCAACAAAAAAGATTTTATAAAAGTATGTTTCTGTTCGTTTTTTAAGTATGTAAATTAATTATTTTTTATAAAAGCAAAAAATCAAGTGAATTTTTGAATTCCTTTACTAGAAATATGATTTATGATAGTGACTTCGTCACTGATGTTACTTGTTATTTATCGTTTTATAATCTCCATTCAAATAAAAGTTATTATTTAAATTATTGCAATTAATTTTGGATATTCATGCTACATTGAATGGTTGGTGCTTGAATAATAACAAATATAAATTGTTGATAATCTGCAGTTGTACAATTCATTGTTTTAAATTTAAATTATAATACAACAATGATGAATAACGACGATTGCATTGTTGAAAATGATGATGTCTCTTCAATTAATTCTTCAACAAATACGGTGTAATGTGTTCAAATAAGAATAAGAAGTGAATCGTGTAACAATTTCACAGTTGTAGATGCAACATTGACGTGACAACAAAGGATGTCCGAGTATTTCTACATATAAAGGCAAAATTTGACTTTGAGATTATTTTCAATTTTATTAACAACATGTTTTAAAAATTTTCTTAAAGAAGATATATTACAAGCAGGTTATACCTTGAGTAACAAGGGTATCAAAATGGGGGTGTGAAGACATTCGATTATATTACTATTACGTAAATTCGAATTTTACTATGATGCCATCAAAATTTTACAAACTATTACTAGACTTGCGGGAAATGTCAAGCGACTAGAAACATTTACGATGGATAATAGAAGGACCATATTCATCATATTCTTCTTTACTGATGCACATTTGATCGAAAGTAGAAAGCTTGAAAAAAGAAATAAAAGGTTAGTTAAACAAAATTTTTTAAAAAAAAAATCTGTGATTTACATACCGAAGCTAAGATAGAACCACCAATCCAAATAGAATATTTACGTTCTGGTGGAGCAAAAATCTTAACTTTCATAGCTTAAAAAAAAAACATTTTTTCATAATTTATTAGTATATGTCAAATATTTATTAAACAAAAACAGAAACAACTTACTGGGAGGTGCTATTTTTGTGATTTCTTTGTGCATTCTGTCTGAAATACCGGAATACATAGTACTGCCTCTGTGACAAAAATAATATATATTTAATAAATAAATATATACACACACAAATCGGGTCTGTTCAATAGAAATGAGGAATGTTGCCAAAAGTCAATTTTCAGTTAATGTGTAATTCATCATGAAGAGTAAAAAATTTTAAAATATTTTCCATTAAAATAATGCATGAATAATAGAAATGAGGATAACTACAAACATCGTGATTTTGAGTTAATAATGTCACTATATGCAATTCGTCACAATGATTAATTTTAGCTTAGAAATCATACAATAAATTTCCCGGATCTTTTATAACATGGTTTCTTCAACATTCCTCATTTGGGTTCAAAAAACAAATTTAAACAATTTATACTAACCCAGCAAGAATAATGTTGCCGTAAAGATTTTTACGAATATCTACATCACATTTCGCTATAGAATCGTGTATAGTTTCATGAATACCAGTAGCTAAATGACCTAATAAAGATGGTTGGAAAAGAGCTTCAGGTGTACGGAATCTATTTAAAAAAAGAGAGACTTAAAAATCAATCAATAATTATAATATTTAATAGAAAATTTGGTTTTTAAAAAAAAATGATACTAACCTTTCATTACCAATAGTAATAATTTGACCATCAGGCAATTCATACGACCTTTCTAAAGGAACAGAATCTAGCATATCACGTTCAAAGTCCAAAGAAACATCACAAAGTTTTTCTTTGATATCATTAACAAATTCACGTTCGGCGGTGGTGGAAAAAGAGTAACCACGTTCCGTAAAAATTGTCATAAGATAATTGGTCAAATCATGACCAGCAAAATCAAGACGAATAATTCCATGGCGAAGAGCATAACACTCGTAAATTGGTACAGCGTGGGTAATACTATCACCAGAATCAAGCACAATACCCGTTGTACGACCACCAGCATACAATGCAAGAACAGCCTAGTTATTAAAATAATGATTTAAAAAAATTAATTTTTTTTTCTTGAGGACAGGAAGATGAGGAGGAAGAAGCAACAAATTTTGTGTACATGAATGCAAGTTGAATGGATGGAGAATACTTACTTGAATTGCAACATAGAAAGCTGGAACATTGAAAGTTTCAAATATGACTTGAGTCATTTTTTCACGATTTGATTTAGGATTGAGGGGCGTTTCAGTTAATAGCACAGGGCGTTCTTCTGGAGCAACAAAAAGTTCATTATCAAAAGTATGACGCCAAATTTCTTCCATATCATCCCAGCTGGTTACAACACCATGTTCGATAGGATATTTAAGGGTAAGGGTACGACGTTTTGATTTAGCTTCATCGCCTACATATGAATCTTTTTCGTCCATACTAACATTAACACCTTGATGATGTGGACGACCCACAATAGTTGGAAAAACCTAGCAAAAATAAAAGCATATAAATAATGATAATAATAATAACAACAATAACAAATAGAAATAAAGTAACAAATTAGTAAGGTTATCATCATTATCAATTACATTTATTTTTTAAAGAAAAAGGAACCATTGATCTTATGATTACAATTATCATATTTTTTTTAAAAAAAAAATTATCACTTACAGCTCTTGGTGCATCATCACCAGCAAAACCGACTTTGCATGTACTAGAGCCATTATCAATCACAATCTAATAAAAGTAATAAAGTTGTTCATGAAAAAAATTTTTTAGAGGGACTTTTAAATAAAAATATTTGATTTAAGATAAAAATCTACAATAAATAAATTCCATTAAAAAAATACATGACTTACTGCTGCAGCTTCATCATCCATGTTTATTTATGTTTATATAAATTTTAGATATATTAAGGTTAAATACTGTAATTTTAAAAAAGAGAAATGAAAATTTTCAATTAGTTATTAGCTTTTAAAAAAAGTAAATTTTTGACTTTTAAAGTAAAAAAAATCCCAAATTCAGCATATCCTGACAAATTTGGAAGGATAAACCTTTATTATTTGGTCTAAAGATATACTTATACCCCTTCATTAAGATTATTAATAGTTTGATCCAAAGACCACCAGTCTAATCAAAGAACCAGCCAGACCACAATCCAGACTAGGGTTTCTATTCAAATAAAGCAAACAATTCAAATAAAACAAATAATAATAAATAATTCGAATAAAACAAATAATTTGAATAAAACAAATAAAACAAGGAATTCAAATAAAATAAATGAATAATTCAAATAAAATAAAATGAATAATTCAAATAAAATGAATAAAACGAAGTTGTATCTAGCACATACTATTTGCAACCAGGTGTCAAAAGCTGTAACAAAATTATATGATGCTGTAGGAATTTTATAATGAAAAAAAGACCAAGAGGCAATAATTCTTCTAATCGTGGTAGACAATTTACATGTGTATAGAGAGACAATTTATTCAAGGTGAAAAAGGGACATGGTATATATGGAAGTGAATGTATCCATTGCCATAAAAAATGGTCATTCATTTAACAAATAAATGCAGATACTAAACAATATTATAATTGGGTCATTGTGAAGAAGTGATTCATATGAAATCCTCAATGATTGGGTGAAGTCTACATCAAATAATAGAAAAATTAGTAATGATCAACAATTTAAAGTTGATTCCTTACTATAGTTCTACATCAATTGAACATTCACATTAAGAACAAATTGATGTAGTTCTGACTATTGAATTTATTTGTTGTGGACTTCCATTTAATATCATAGAAAATCCTGTTTTATTAACTTATTAAAAGTATTAAAACCCTAGTTATAATCTTCCTTCTTGTGAAATGTTGTCAGGTAGATTTTGGATAGTCAAGTTGCATTTGTGAATCAAAATTTGACAATATATTACAAATATTACTCTTGGGATAGATAGATGGACAAGTCCAAATGGTTCAAATTCATGATAATAACACCTGAAAGAAAAGAATTTTTATATCATGTATGATTTTTCTTTCTGCGAGTGAAGTTGAAGATAATAAAAATAACAATGTAGATATTAATATTAGTAATAATGATAATAGTAGAAATGGTAATAGTGAAAGTTGAATTTTTATCAGAGTGCCCAAAGAATAGGTAATACAAATGGCTTTAAGTCTGACCAAGTATTTTCATATTTTTCTATTATAAGTTGAATTAAAAAATAAAAATAATTTATTCGTAAATAAATTCCAAGTCATGTGCCCACTAATTTATCATTTGTCGAAATTATGCTAGTAACAATTATAGAAGACTGGGCAGAAGTTAAAGGAGTGGGGGGAAAGGGGTTAAAGGAATTGTGGAAAGGAGATGAAGAAGGGTGTGAGGAAAAATATTTAATGGATGAAAAGAAGAAGTTTGAAGAGTCGGGATATGTTGTACCAAGAGGCATTAAGTAAAAGAGAAGGTAATGAACAAATTGCACAAAAAAATATACAAATTATTTTCCATTCACTCATTTCGTTTATTTATTTATTTGGCATACTGTTTACAACTTTATATATTCTTTATATTGTTAATTGACTTATTAATTAATTTATGATTTTTAGATTCTTTTGAAATAAAAGCTGATGAAAACATCCAACTTTTTTGGAAACATTACTTGACTCAGACAGCTTGGTGCAAAATAACATTTTTTCACTTCTAAATGGCATTTCCTTCTTCGGAAACAACAATCCTACCTTATTAGAAAGAGTTACAATAAGATTTATGAAAAAAATTCAAAGTGAAATTCAAAATGAAAATAAAAATGAAAATGCTTAATTATTTCTTATAACTGGTAATCCAGGCATAGGAAAGTCATATTTTGGTTTTTACTTATTGTATTCTTTTGCAAAATTAAAAAAGGAAATAAATTTATCAACATATCCTATCAACTTTCAAGGAATTGTTTTTCATTTTTCATCAAATGAATGTAAAGTTTTTAAAGGGAAAACTTTGGATGAATTTTCCATGGTGTTAAATTTAAAACCAACAATATAAATAGTTGTTGGTATGGTACCTTCAAATTATTCTGCAACAATGATAGTTCTTATCATCTAAAAGAGAGATAGCAAAGTCTGTAAAAAAACTGCAGAAGTGGCAACCCTATTATATGTCAACATGGTCAATAGATGAATAGAATATGCTTTATTTAATTCTTCTATATCCATAGATGATGCAAAGGAATTATTTGAATTATGTGGAGGTATTGCTCATTATATTTTTGAATGGAAGAAGAAAATTGACAAGATAGAGGATGCAGTTAGAACCTGTGACCTTAATAAGATAATAAAATTTTATTGGTGATACTGATGCTTTTGATGATACTTCTCACATGATACTACACAGTGTAGTAGACCCTCAACTTTTCAACAATACAAGGTTCAATTTGCATCATTTATCATCAGAGAAAGAATATATCAAAAATTTTTAAATGAACAAGAGTTTTCATTACATAATTTTTTAAAAACATGTGAAGATGAATCAGTTGCAGGTGGCATTTGTGGTAATCTGTTTGATGAGTTTTCACATAAAATGTTAAAGGGTGGTGGAAAATATGAAATAAGAGCCAGAAGAAGGAAATCCGCAAAGAAAAAACTTAACTTAGCAGTAGAGCATCTGCTTCTTTAATTAGTGAATTAAATTTGACTGAAAGGAATCTTTAAGTTTTCAAAGCTTGAACAAATAACAACAGAGCATCAAGGTTTTATTGTTATCCATCTATACATTCATTTGAATCAATTGATGCATTAATTCCAGGAACTAAATCTTCAAATCAGACTTTTTCAAATGACAGTTTCAAATTAAACAAAATGTGATTAATAAAGTAATTAAATATCTTAATGAACTTCAGAATGAAACAAAAGAGACAACTATATTTTGCAGTTCCAGATGAAATTTATTTAACATTTAATAAGCAGAAGTTCCAAACAAAACAAGGAAAAGATGTAGAAAGAACACCACAAATTGTACATTCTATCAAACAATATTCTCTTAAAGTTCCATTGAATGCAAATATGATGGCTTTTTAAAATTATGAATGCATATTTTTTAATTCTAAATTTCATTTTCTTTTATGTGTACATAAATTTTCATCATATAATTTGTAAGTCTTGTTTTCTTAATAAAAAATTTAAAAAATTTAATTTGTCATTATTTCACAATGCTATGGTTTTGACAAATATCAAATTTCTCAAAAAACTATAAAATTTATATATCAGTATACAAAAAGTAATAATAAATATAATGGTTCTAATGAATATCAAAAGCAATTGATTTTTTAGAAAAAAGTTGTAAATGTAGTTATTCTTCAAGAGTTTCCAAAGAACAATTTGCAGAATTAAGGGAAACCTTCAAATTCCTTCCAAGACATATTTTTAATGGCCCAACTTAAGTCAATGGATGGTGGATCAATAAGCACTAATAGATACCTTAAAAAGAAAGCCAGATCTAACAAAAAGGCTTTTATCATAATACACTACTTTTCCAAAAAACCTATCTCAATATGTTAGTTTTTTGGAAATCATCTAATAAATAATGGTCTTCTGCCAATAATTAATGATAATATTAAAAGGATGCCTCAATGGAAAACCAAAATTAGGGGTTGGCACCGTTAACCGTTTAACCGCGGTTAACCAGTTAACTGCAATTAAACGGTTAACTGGTTAAGATCTTTTTTTAACCGGTTAATTCTTTTTGATTAACCAGTTAAAAT